TATGTCCCGAACAATATTTAAAAGGCAATAACTCCAAAATTTGGTAAGGCAGAGTTTTAATTATTTTACATTGCACCTTTACTCAATGAGATCTATCTATCTACAAAGTTTCATGTTGATATATCTTATAGTTTCAGCGTCATGTCCCGGACAAAGTTAAAAGTATTAAAATGAACAAAATGCAATAACTTTAAAACTGGGCAATTAAGTGTTTCGGTTTTTGTGCACTGCACATGTACTTAATAAGATATATCTACCTACAAATATCTCGTTGCTATCTATAAAAGATTCATGGTTATCTCTCGGCCAAGTATAAAAATAAAAAAAAGGCAATAACTCTTTCGTTTCGTGTTTCGGACTTTTTACACTGCACATTAACCACAATGAGATCCATGAGAGTTATGTTGTGTACAAAGTTCAAAGTATTAAAGGGCAAAATAAGGCAAGACGGATTTCTTGTGCACTGCATATTTACCTAATGAGATATATTTACCTACAATTTACCTATTCATGTTAATATCTCTTGTTGTAACAGAGTTATGACCCGGACAAGAAAAGCGTATGGACAGACAACCAGACGGACAGACGGACGGACGGACAATACGGCCATTATATGCTTACACTTCGGGTAGCAAAAAGTTTAGCATACAAACTCATCTTTGTAAGTAAGGTACATCTTTCTTAAGGCCTTATTTTATTTCCTGTGGAAAATTTTTTACCTAGCTTTTTTAACAAGTAATATACCAGAAATAGATTTTTTCTATACAATTGAACTTTGCCAATGCGCAGTAGTGTCTAGTGAGGTCTTTTCTAGCATGTCAAATGAAAGACGTGTTTACTGTTCAGATACTAAGGACCATTTTCATTTATTCAAAAGCAAACATGTTATGACATTAAGATTTCATAAAGAAATGTAATGGCCTGGAGCATTTTAGCTTTAGCGGCCCCTAAAACAGGCCAATGAAATTAATATGAGCAAACTTAATAAAAGCTTACCTAAGAATGCTGCAGACAAAGATTTGTGTTCATCCATAAAAAAGTTCTGTAAAAGTAGACATTTTAAGGAAGGTTTATCTATTTCTAGCTTTAGCGGACCTTAGACGCGGCTAATCAAATTCATATGAGCAAATTTGAGACTACCCAAGAATGCTACAGACAAGGTTTGATGATAATCCATCAATAAATTTAGTAGCAGAAGCTGTCAAAAGGGTTTTGCTTTTTTAGCTCTAAATACCCCTACAAGAACCAATTAAATAATTAGATAACAGACTATCTTAGAATGCTACATACAAACTTTGGTGATTATCCATCAATTAGTTCAGTACAAAAATGTTTCAATTTTTTTTTCTATTTAAGCTATAGCGGCCACTAAAAGAGGGTTAATCAAGTAAGTATGTCATTGAGCAAAATTGATAAAATGCTACCTAAAATGCAACAGAAAAAGTGTGGATATCATCCATCCATTAGTTCAATAGAATAATCCGATTAAGGTTTTCTTTTTATTTTTAGCTAAAGCGGACCCTTAAACGGTCCATTAAAAATAATATGAGCAAATCTGATAAAATACCACCAAAGAATGCTACAAACAAATATTGGTGATCATCAATCCATCAATTAATTTAGAAGTAGAAGATTTACCGACTGATTGAGCATGTAAGCGAAAGCAATCTCCTTCCAACTAATCAGTCGGCATATCGCCAGTTCCACTCATGCGAGTCTGCCCTTCTTAGACTTCTTAAAGAAGTAAATGCTATGATTGCTCTTGATCTGAGAGCGGCATTTGACACTGTCAACCACAGCATTTTACTTGATGTTCTGAAGTCCCAGTATAGCATATGTGACTCCCCTATCAGATAGGTGGAATTCGTTCATTCCAATTAGTCAACAGTAAGAGAGCTTGACTGTTGTGTCCCCCAGGGAAGTTATTTGGGGCCTTGGCTATATCTGACCTATGCTGGAACGATATTTGACATTGTGTCTCCTTCTATTCCCGTGTTTGGATTTGCCGGTGATAACACGGCTAACAAACGCTTTTAACCACCATTCGAAGAAGCGTCTACAATTCATGACCTCAAAAAATCCGACGTCGACATCAAAGAGTGGATGAACGGAAAGAAATTGAAAATGAATAACACAAAGACTAAGTTAATTCTTTATGGAAGCACTCAACAATTAGAGAAGTGTAACACAAAAGGAAATTGATATTTGTGCTACTAAGGTCGAATCGCAACATTATATAAGATATCTGTGTGCCTTCCAAGAATATTTAAATTTCAAAGAACAAATCACACTGCTATGCTTAACTATTTTAAAGTCAAGAGCATTCGGCAGTATTTGTCTTCTGATGACACAGAAACACTTATTTTATCTCTTGTTATATCTCACTTGGAATACTGTAACGTCATATTGTACGGTATTTTGCCAACTGAGTTATCTAAACTTCATCGTAATATCCAAAACATGTGTGCTAAACTTGTATTAAATAGATCAAAATTTGATGGATCCAAGTAAGCACTTTTCGATTTACATTGGCTGCCATTTTAGGCTCGTATGAGTTTTAAGATTCTAGTGTATATATACAATTTTCTGTAAGATATGCACCAACTTACTTAATTGATTTTTAATTAATTGACTCTTCAAACCCAAAAACGCTCTTTAAGATCATCGCAGTCAGCTGTTGGACACTATGGAATACCATTTAACAGAAGCAAGAGCTTTTCAGATAGAATATATAGTACAATAGGTCCGTCCAAAGTTATGGAATAAACTTCCCAGAGACCTTAAACAAAGCAAATCTGTAGAAATTTTCAAGACACAATTGAAAACTTTTTCTTTAAGGACTTCTCCTCCCTATTCAAAGCACGAAATTAACGGATAACATAGATATAAACTGTGATGGCCAAAAAACTGTAGCATTTAATCAAATTATCAAGTTTAAAGTTTGGATGTTTATAGGTTCTATTTTTTAGCTCAGTTTACTCCTAAAGGGCTTAATTGAAATGAAATGAGCAAATTTAAGTATTACTGTCACAAGGATACTACAGACCAAATTTGAGATAAATCTGCCCAGCAGTTTTACAGAAAAAGATGATTGTTGACGCATGACGATGGACGCCGGAGCATCCCCCAACATACTAATAGCTCACCCTGTACTATCGGTTCTGGTGAGCTAAATATATCACTTTCTTAAACAGAATTAAAAAATCAAATTTGACATGAGTACTAAAGTTATGACAATCTAAGCAAAAATTAAATGATTTGACATTGACTGGCAACAAGCCAAAGATAAGATCTTACGACATTGTAGTTTCTCAGGATAATTTTGATGTCTGCTTTCTATACAAGTAAACGTAAAATAAGTGCCCAAAGGACAGGGCTTATTTTCTGACACAAGAAACATTTTTTACATTACTTTTGAAAAGAACAAAAAAATTAACATTCATTAGCTATAGGTATAGAAGTTTCTGAATAGAAGTCTTTTAAAGTTAATTTTTTTAAATGTTTGGGTGAAATTGCAGTAGTTTCTGAGAATTAGTCCAGACATGCTTCTCTGTAGCTGGGAACACCAAAATTACCCATTAATTCAAGGTCTATTACTAAGCCAATACTCATTCAAGCGGGAAACCTGTGTAATATGCACAAGTCTTAAACCTACAAATCAATCCTGTAAAGTTTCAATGAAATTGCATAAGTGGTATACGAGAAGCTGACCGAACAAACTTTATTAACCACTTTATTCATTCAATGGCCTTAACTTTGAAAAAAAACATTCGTCTGGAAAACCTGTGTAATATGAGCAGGCACTTGATCTACCGATCATTCCTGTTAAGATTTTATTGAAATTTATAAGTGTTTTAAGGGGAGTAATCCAGACAAACTTTTAACAAAATGAAAATCATGGCCATAACTGTGACAAAAATCATTTAACTGCAAAATGCCGACTCAATGCACAACCAAACTTAAAACTGATTGTTCCTTTCAAGGGGACGTCCGTGGCCGAGTGGTTAAGGTAGTTGACTTCAAACCACTTGCCCCTCACCGCTGTGGGTTCGAATCCCGACAGGGACTTTGGCTTCTTTCATGTGAGGAAGCTATCCAGCTAGCTAACGGAACGTCGATGGTTCTACTAAGGTGCCCGTTTGTGTCTGAAGTAATGCACGGAAGGGCACCTGAGGTTTTCCTCCACCAGTAAAGCTGGAACGTCGCGATATGATGTATACACTATCGTATGACGTAAAGCCTAAACAAACAAACATTTCCTTTAAAGTTTGGATGAAATCGCATCTGTAGTTTCTGAGAAGTAGTCCGGACAAGAATATGTGTAGTTGGCAACACACAAAAACAACAATATATTAAAGGGCCATTATAAACTCAGTAAAAAATCATTCAACTTGAAAACCCGTGAAATAAGCGCAAGTACTTGATATACAGATCGATCCTGTAAAGTTTGATTGAAATTGCATAGGTGGTTTAAGAGAAGTAGTCCGGAAAATCTTTAAAAAATAAAAATAATTAAAGGGCCATAACTTTGACAAAATTCATTAAACAGGAAAATACTGACAATGAGCACAACTAGACTTGGTATTGATCATTCCTATCAAGTTTGGATGAAATAGCACAAGTAGTTTTTGAGAAGAAATTATGACTAGTTTTGTAACGGACAAACATACGGACATTTTTACAAAATGGTACTTATGAGACTTTTCTTTTCATCTTCATTGTTTTTCTAGTCACATAAGGCCTTAAATAAGGCACGCAAGTAAAATGGCAATGAATAGGATCCAAAAACATGTACCGTTACCTAATGTGTTCCTAGAAACTGATGAACCTCTATGTTTGTACGGACATACAGACAGACAGACAGACAGATGACGGAGAAGTGATCCCTTTATGTCGCTACTAATCTGTAGTAACAAAAACGTGCTGCTATTGATCCTAGATCTGAAAGAGTCTGAAACTTAAAAAAAAATATTAGAATTGTCTGAATACTTCTAACTTACCTGTCTCGTAAATCATCTCGTACTGCTAGGAGCTTTTTGTATTGGTCACCTGAGTCACTTTTCTCCTCTTTAAGAATATTTTGCATGTGTTCCATATCCTTTTTTGCCTGTTGATTTTTCTGTATATCAATATTTTTACATGCAGCTTCAAGATTTTTACATGCAGCTTCTAGTTCTGCTATTCTTTTTTGATCTTTCTCACGCTCATCAAAATGGTCATAGAGTTGTTTCTGAAGCCTCACAGCCATGTTCTCAGCAGACTTTAAATCATTTTCAACAGCTGTTCTTATCTTCTTTTCCTGCTGAAGACTATAAATATAACATTAAAAAAATATTTATTATTTGCTTGCTTTCAATCATGAAAAACAACAAAATAGCTGTATTTAAATGCTCTCTTATAATATGAGTTATAATTACTACTGTTGCTGCTGCTACTGCTACGGCTACTGCTACTGCTACTGTCACTTCTTCTTCTACTACACTACCACTACTACCTACTACTACTTCTACTACTACTACTACTACTACTACTACTACTTACTACTATTACTTACTACTACTACTTCTACAACCACATTTTTCAATTTAGAACAACCCTTTTCCTACGTTGATATCAGAGAAACCCTTTTTTTTTGAGTGTGTAAAAATATGATCATATGTATTATAAGAATCTTACACTGGCTGCCGGTACAGACCGGAATGTCTAGCCCAAAATTTGAGGCGGTAACGAGGCTCTGCCGAGTTGCCGCTAAACAGTTCTCCGAGAGCAAGATATTTCCGGATGTACCGACAGCGGGTGTTTGATTATTTTTCTCGTATATTACACATTCATTATTTTCAGAACAAAAATCACGAAAACTGATATTCTTATAACGCACTTTTTTCTTAAAGTAGCGTATGAAATTACATAGAGGATATTGAATGAGTGAAGGTTAAATACTAAATTTCTTGAACTAGTTGAATGATAGCCCCTATATATTTATAACATATATAAAATAAGAACAGTCAACTGTTGGCAAGAGTCATTTTCATTTTACGCGCTAACATCAGTGCTTTAACACTATGTTTATAGCGCAAATGACGTCACGTCAAAGTGTTAATACATTAGTCTAGTGAAATATCGTGTAGTGTATTATTATTTTTATTAAATGGCTTTTTATACTCCTACGGTTTATGTGATAAAACTTCATTCATAATAGTAAAATGACGTCTTCTTGAGAACGAAATTCATTCATAAATGGCGCGCGGCAATGACGTCATTTAAAGCGCGCAACTTGTCTTACATGGGGGCTGTAAGAAAGGCTTTTCTAGCATCGGTCTATACTTCGTATTTTAGATAAACTACTAAAGAAACACGTTTATTTTATGCTTTTCAGTGGATTACTGATTTATCCGTGAAAATTATATTTGATAATTTCACAGTGAAAATTATCAAAATATAATTTCACTTTTTTCAATGACGAAACTACTTTTTTAAGATTTTTCCCATGTGGTACCTCAATTTTATTTTTACTGACAATTCTGACAATATCAGGCTGTTAAAAAACTAGCAAAGCTGAAATAGATAAATAACTTAAATGTCAAAAGTAATAAAGAGAGAAAACTTACTTCTATAATAATTTCCTTCAAATTCCAATCACGAAATTTCGTCTCTTAATTTTTTTGTTTCGTTTTTACAGTCTGAAAAATACATTCCTTCCCCATGCTAAACTGCTCTTGATGACATTTGGGCATATTAAAGTATCCTACGAGCAATAACTGCCGTATGCTTTATGAAAAATTGAAAAGCATTGACAGCCATCACTCGTAAAATAAAATAAGTAAATCAACCCAGCGTTCCTTACAAAGCCTTAGCAAGCTTCCAAGTTTTCCATTTTCCTAGCTCCTTTTCTGAATGTTTTCACTTCTGTCAACACTTATTTTTTGTCTGTTACAATCCTCAAATAAGTTTTCTTTCTTTTAAAAAGGTGTATGACTAACAAATCCAAATTATATCCTTCTGAATCTTACACAATTATTTTCCTCCCATGAAATACACAACTTTAAAAAATGGCTGCCGCTTACATTTTACAAAGCCAGGTCTAATATAAATTCGCAGTAAGTAACAGAAATATGGATGGATGGTTGGACTTTTTCTCCTAAAAGAATTGTTTGTTTTTATTATTAAAACAAGCAATCATTCATATTTTTTTAATAAAATGAATAAATATCACCGTCATTTAACCTTGATTAGCGGACTTATTTTTCAGCTCAAGACTTCTTGTTTTTAATGAGAAATTCCCTCTAAATGGGGCTCTCAATGGGGGAAACAGATTTTAATATTAACGTTAAAATTATGGAAATTTCGTTTTAACTTGTTTTAAAGCATAAAATAAAAAGAAAATTTGTCTGTTTGTTGTGTAAGATGTAATTTTATTTCATCTCGTAAACTTTAAAAATCATTCATTCACGCCACTCGTGAGAATACTGTTTTTAAAGCCCACTCGATGAAATAAAATTTCATCTTACACACAAACAAACAAATATCCTCTATTTCTATGTCAAAGTAAGAGAAGTGTTGTACTCTATTGAAAAAAAAGTTCTGTCAAGTAAACCCTCATAATACACAATAATTGTATCGGGACAAAAGCACTGCGTTGCAATCAAATCACCGCCGTTTGCGTTGTACTCAATTTTTGTCAATTCTTTTATAAAAAAGGAAATAACAATTTTCAAATGTTAAAAATATGGTTGTTTTGTGCATTTATCATACATACCATGTAATGTTGGCGTATTTAGGAGTCATTTTGCACACATTTTTACATGTTTTAAGAAAAATTAGGCAAAAGTGGCATTCCCTCGTCAAACTGTACGGAAGTGATTGCACAAATTGCAATGAATTGCACCGTGTGCGTGTAATAAATTTGGAAAATACACATGTGGGCTCCAGTCTCACTAAGTGTTTCCATTAAAACATTAAAGTATAAAAGCAAACTTCAGTCATAAACTGCCATATTTTATTCACAGTGTCTGCGACGAAATCTCTTCCACATACCTCGACTGCGAAATGTATGGCCAGTGTGATTATCATGTTCTTGGTTTACAATTGTATAAATCATTCTACTTTAGGGTCTTAAGGTGATTTTTTAAACAATTTAACAGTCCCGTTCAAAATTGGTTATGCGTTATACAATGTATTTAATTTTTAAACAATGACAATTTTGTTCTTAGATGTATTATTCTTTTATTTTCATGCAGCAAAATTATATTAATATAAGACATATAAAGTTTATTGCATCTATGATTTTCTAGCAATCAAGTTACAGAAGGAAAGACGAAAATTTGCGTCGTAACAGGAGCTCATTTATAATCATACAGTATATAACAATACAGTATGATACCGACATGTACAGAGTATATATGTATACAGTTTCACAATCAACAACATGTGAGATACGTATTGGCCTACTTCGTAAATGAGTTAAGAGTTGCTCCGTTAAGACAATGTGCTTGTGACGTCGTTAACGTCAAGCTTCAAAGTTATACCGTCCGCCGGGTCGCTTTACATGCACATTACATTAACGGCATAACATTTTCATTATTATACGACTGTATGTCCTAAATATTTTAAAACCTATTTCCATTTTTTAGACATACATATACATTTTTAAGGAGGATAAAGCATATGCATTATTTACAAGTGACATTCACAGGGACGCTGTTCATTTCCACCTCACAATAGTCTAGTTTATAAAAAATTATAACGCCTTATCATAAATTCGTGCTTAATTTATAGGCGGGGCTTTGTATGCTAAGTGTTCTATCCCATGATTCAAATTATCGAATTAATATGTTTCAGTAGATCTATACAATAAATATTTTTAATTATACAATATATATTGTCAAATATTGAACATACATATAGAAAATTATCGCACACAAATATGTTTATGATGAACAACTGTTCAGCAGGATTGAATAAATATTATGGTATAGAATATAAAATTAGAGTTATACAATACAAATATTGGATATAGAACAAACATGCAATTTATTGAATGTTGCAACGTTTAACATGCCATAATATCTTAGCTCTAGCCAGTAGTTTGGAGGAGACGTTTTTTAGGTTTTACTTTTACACATCAATTGTATGGAAAACCATTGATTAATTATATAAGTTTAAACAAAATTAATTCCGTTGATATCGCTTGCACGCTGAGTAACCATGGTAGCCCGTTTGCAACATAGGTCAATTTATATATGTCTTAATGAAACAATAAAAATATCACTTGTATGAGGGGCAAACGAAAGAGCGTCACAGTTTGGTGTGCAGATAGTGTTATATCAAAGTTTAATGTAATTTTGATGTTGTGATTGAAAATTGAAAAACAGCAGCATTTATAATGCATAGTTTCCGATTTCACTAAAATAATTCGCTGGGCAGACGACTGACACAAAATAAATGGCGATCTGACGTGGATTATTGCACCACACATTGGGTACAGATTTGTAGTAAAACATGCAAACGTACCTTTTTTGTGCATACAGATTATTCGTAAAAATAATTCAGATATCTAAATTATACCTTTGCGCTAGATGTGTTAATTCAATCTCTAAATCTCTCTTTATAAACTCCGTTTCTTGGATTTGTTTCAAACTGTCATCAAGTTTGTGGCGTAGTTCTTCTACTTTCTGTTGCTCTTTTTCAAGTTCTTTCTCCAATGTTTGTCTAAATAACATAATTTAAACGACAGTTTATCCTCACAAATTCAACGTTATAAAATGTAACATAATTAAGAATAAATACACTATTCTTCATAAAAAGACGACTTTAATCAGCTCATGGTATCTTTTAAAACTTGTCTAACATATTTAAAGTAAAACGACAACAACTACCTTACGACTAACATGTCAAATATAAGAATAGAGCAAACAAATTTCCTTCACAATCCCACAATTCAGTACTTCAGGATTAAACCTTTATGGGTAGAACAAAAAACTTCAAAAAAAGCCTAAAAGTTTTATAGCTTTTTTAAATTCAACCTTGAATGACATGACTATAATATGTGTTATTATTATATCTATAAATTATTCTAATGTATAAACAAACTACCAGATTCAGCTGTCAGACTGAGGAAATTGATGTAACATCTACCATCATAATATCCTCATCCTTTTGACATATTCTTTTGATAATTATGATATTAATTTACTGGATTTTAAATAATTTTTCATGAATATTCTTTCATTAAATTAAATGAAGTGATATCCAAGGAAGGTTTGAAAGAAATATTCATGTTAACCTTAAATATTTAATTTATTTTAAGAATGATTTGTTTGTTATTATGTCCCTTAAATTGTCCAAAATAGATTTTCTCATGTATTGTTTAACTAGTTCTAAGACCAAGAAAAAATTCTTACACTAAACCAAGAGGGCCAAAATGGCTCTTATATTGCTCACCTGATTATAAAGGCGGTTAATGACAAGGAACAAATGATATTGTTTACTGTAACAGAAAAGCAAATATAAAGTCAATATTGCAAACTGATGTCATAGCTACATCTAAAATAGTGCCCATGTTAACTACTTGCAATTACCAAAAGAAATAAATAGTTACTATAGAATTCATTAATTGCTATTCGAAATAAACGGTTCTTGTATAAGTCAGTGGTTACTATGAAAGTCAATGGTAAATTCACACGTTGCTATGGAAAGTCAGTCGTTGCCATGGGAGTCAATGATTGCTCAAGAAATTTACAGTTTGTAATGGAAGTCAGTGGTTGCTATGGAAAGTCAATAATTCAAAATAAAATGTTCCTATTGACAGTCAACTGGTGCTATGAAAATCAATAGCTGCTTGGGAAAGACAGTGGCTGGTATGGATTCTAACGCTTTCTATGAAAAGACCTGTGAAATAACAGGTTGCTTAGTTCAGTCAATGGTTGCTTTGGAAGTCATTGGTTGATGTTGAAAGTAAATGGTTGCTATGGAAATTTACTGTTTGATATAGTAAGTCAATGGTTCCTATGGAAGTCAGTAACTGCTTTAAAAAAATTGTTCATACATGTATAAAAAGTCAAAGGTTGCTGTGAAAAGTCATATGCAGCTATTTAAGTTAATGGTTGCTTTTGAAACTAAATGGTTCCAACTGAAAGTAAATGAGTGTCATGTGAGTCAATGGTTGCAAATGAAAGCTTTTGGTTCCTATATAAGTCATTGGTAGTTGGGGAAAGTCACTGGTGGCTTTGAGTATAACCGGTTACAAGGAAAGTTAATGGTTGATAGTTATGTCATTCTTTACTATTGAAAGTCAATGTTTGCTATAGAAGTCAGCTGTTGCTATAGAAGTCACTAGTTGCCATGGAAGTCAATGGTTGTTATGAAAAGCTAATACTTATTGCTCTTCAATGTACTGGTTGCTATGGAAAGTCATTTCTTGCTATAGAAAGCCGCTGTTCATTACAGTATGGAACTCATTTGTTGCTTTACAAATTCAAAGGTTGCTATGGAAGTCACTTGTTTTATAGAATATCGATGATTCATATGGAAAGTCTATAACTGTTATGAAATAAAATTAGTCCTATTGAAAGACAATGGTTGCTTTGGATCGACTGATTGCTTTCGAATAGCAATTTTTGTAGAAAACACGGGCTGCCTTATTAAGTCAATGGTTGCTTTTGAAAGTCAGTGGTTCCCATCGGAGTTACTTAGGAAATTCAGTTGTTGCTTATTGGAGTCACTGGAAGCTATGGATAGTCAATGGTTGCTTTGGAGGATGGTAATTAATATATAACTGGTTGCTATAAAATTTTCTGTATGCAATGGAAGTCAAAGGTTACTACATACAGGAATGCTTAGGAATGAAAACGGTTGCTATGGAAGCAATTGGTTGCTACAGAAAGTTGATGATTGCTTTCAAAGTCACAGGCTGCTAAGGATAGTGAATATTTTCTATGAAAGATATTGCTTACTAAAGAACGCTAAAAGTTGTAATAATAGTGATTGTTTCGGGAAAAGTAAATTATTGTCCATTAAGCCACTAGTTGCTATAGAAAGTCAATGGTTGCTATGGAATTCACTGGCTGCTATATAAAGACAATGATATCTATGAAAAATACTTGTTACTATGGAAAGTAAATGGTTGCTATTTATGTCCCTAGAAGCTGTAGAAAGTCACTGGTTCAAATTGAAAGTCACTGGTTGCTATGAAAAAAAATAATGATAGTAATAAAACCTAAATGGTTGCTATGTAAGTCAATGGTTACTAAGGGCTTAGCAAGTTACTGTTTAGTGTTTGTATTTTCAATAATTGCTTGTAAAGTCACTGACGTGGAACCTCACTGATTGCAACTTGAGTCAGAAATTTCTATCAAAATGCAATGGTCTGAATGAATGTCGTCCGTTACTTTTCGGATGAGTTCACACATCTCGGATGAAAAACTAGGTCATACGAGCTAGAAATAAAAAAAACCTTGTTACACTCTAGTGGTCATATTTTTTAATCAATTGTGATCAAACTTGGTCAGGATCCTTGTCTTGGTAATTGCTCGGATGAGTTTGAACATGGGTTATCTCAGATGAAAAACAAGGTCACAGGGGCTTAGAATATACACTCCAGTGCCTACTGTTTTGATAGAAATATCCTGGAAATTGGTCTGAAAGTTTGCTTTGATGATTTCCCGGTCAAGTTCGAATATGGGTTACCTTGGGTCATAAACTAGGTCACACACCGCTTCAATATGGAAAATCCTTGTTAACACTCTAGTGGTCACATGTTTGAGTCAATTGTCATCAATCTTGGTCAGGATATTAGTCTAGATAATTTCTCGGATATATTAGAAAATGGGTCATCTCGAATGAAAAACTAGATCACAGGAGCTAATAATAGAAAAATGTTGTAGACCCTCTAGTGGCTGCTATTTTGATAAAAATATATTGGAAATTGGTATAAAAGTTTGATTCAAAATGATTTCTAGGTCAAATTTGAATATGGGTCACCTGGGGTAAACAACTAAGTCACACTGCTCAAATATGGATAATCCTTTGTAACACTCTAGTGGTCACATTTTTAACTCACCTGTCATGAAACTTGGTTCGATTGGTCAGATGAGCAATCTAGGGCCATCTTGGCCCTCTTGTTTCATATAAGCTTGAAACGACACATGTAATACATGACAGGGGCTTTCTTTCTACGATCATTAAATTGTAAACAAGTACAAAATCTGGGCATTCTTTTCTAAAATAAAAAATCATAAACCAGGTTACCAAACTACAAGAGTAATGCATTTACTAAATTCTGAACAAATCCTCGAATTCCAATTGAAACGGTAACTACTCCAGTTAACAAAATTGTTTAAGCTAATCGTCAAATAAAATGCCAACGCCTTTCATTATCCATTAGAATGTTGCCTTTTTAAAAAAGAAAGAAAACGATTCAATAAAAATGTATACCATCGGCGACCAAACATGTTTTTTTAAGTAGAAAATATTATGTATTAAAACAAATCTTTTGTCTGAATTTATCAACCTAAATTTATCAAATAAGATGTTTTCATGTCTCTGGTAAACACATAATCATGTATAAACAAACTGATCGTTGTAATACTCATATATTGCCAGCCATATCCAATAACCTCCCATAACCGACGTAACCGACTAGTCACAATGAGTGCTGGTATATATTTGTTATTTTGTACTGGTTTATTAGTAGAAGAAGAGAACGACGTACAAAAGAGACAGTAATAATTAATGCCTTGTGCTTACGTGATCTAAAATTGTGACAGATATTTGCCATTTTGCCGCTAAATAAAAATGATATTCAATAAAACATACCTACAGAGTGAGATGGGGCTGAATGAGATCAATAATAATTGTATCATAGTTTGGGGAAAGTTCTGTTGAAAATGTGTCAGATTTAAATCGTATGGATATACATTTACATGTGTTAACTGGTATGTAGGCATTAGTTACCTACATACCCACTGATAGTTGCTCATGTTTTCTCAGGCTAACTTATTGTGAAGACAGAGAAAGGGATAGGGATAGAAATATAATATTCAGATGCTCGTTCATTGGTTACTTTTTGTGGATTTTCATATTGCGACAACATTTTTGCCTATGATACAAAAGAACAAGAACATGAAAACACTCGGCTATCTCATTTATACACGGGGGCTACACCCATCGTACAAATCATTTAGCCTTGTGTTTCGATGTTCTTTCTAAATCTTAATTATTAGGTATCAAAATAATATGAATGTGACTTTTCGAGAAATACTTGATTCATAACAATAAAATACCTAATGGTGTTACATACCCTCGTGACATATGCTGATTGCTCATCATTTCTACCTTATGACTCTTCACAGTCCGGTTATGATGCGTTAAACATCTCCCACATATGTATCTACCAAACACGCCACAATTATAACAGAAGTATGATGCTGGCTGTAGCTTTCCATCGGTAGCACAATATGAGCAGACCTCAGTATCCTCTCCATTATCCCTAGCTTCGTCACTTCCACTTTCTTTACAACTATGTCCAAGTGACATTGCCATACTCTGAAAAATAAATTATCTATGATTGATAAACATTGTCTCTGTAGACATCAACACAATAATTTTTTTATCTTTTATTTTGTAAAAAAAAACACTTCATGCAATTTGTTTGTTTCTTCAATTTAATGCCAGTGAAATAAATTTTAATCGTTAACTTACCGAGGGTTTCCTCATACATTAAGTTAATTTTTCATTGTATACCTTTTGTTAAGAAAATGTTAATCTCTTTGTTAAAGACGGGTTAGGGAGAGGTGGCAGGTGAAAACACCTTTGTTAGGGAGAGGTGGCAGGTGAAAACACCTTTAAGTGAGATATTTTACATTCTACTATTTCCACTATTCCACTTGAATGTATCTCGGTAACAGGCTCATGCGGGTCTATAATTTTCATTGACATTAAAAGTGTCGCAACATTTTGTTCTCAAATGTTTTTGAACAAAATATTGAACTTGTCAGAAAAAACTTATTGAAGCTGCTATCAAGTAAATAATTGTAAGGACGATAACTTGGGATATCTGGCAAAAAATACAACATAATACAACAAACAAGAAAAAGCAATGGAAAATACAATGAGGTGATCATCAATGTACATAGTATAGTGTAATATGAACATTGGAAGACATTATTAAAGTTGTTAAAAGAGAGTGTCGTAGATCACCGGCTATATTACACTATATAATTACTATTACAATGTTAAATTTTTATGTACTGAATTGGCGTCTATATTTAAGTGCATGGTGGAGAAAGCATGCTCTAGTGTTAAATGGTGTCGCATCTGCTTTTCTTGGAAAAGATATAAATTTTTCAAGTGAAGGAATTTTCACTTATTCCTCTAGTAGAATGTTTTACGTATAGTATTAAAGTGAGTACAAATCAAGATAATGTGATATTCATCATCCATGTCCGTATAACAGAGAGAACAAATCCTTTGACCATATGGTTTATCATTAAAGAAGCCAGAGTTATTACCTACGGGTCGAGAACCGCCTCTAAATTTAAGAATTAAGTTACCGGAATTTTAAATTTTCAATTTGATCTAGGTATGATTCTCTATTAAATTCAATTTGAAAACATTGATAAAACACGAGTCTGCTAGATGAATCAATAGCCTCCCACCATGTTTGAATATTAATAACGCGCAATCTTCGAAATAATTCACGAAAAGTCAACGTGTCCTTACCCCTGGTTAAGCTAACAAACATAACCAAATTCATTTTTAAAAAGTACAGTCCGAATTTAAAATGCCTAGGAATCAATATTATTTTCTCCCCGCCGGTATTGGACTTGAAAGCATTATGTTAGTTTATTTAAATATTTTTTATAATTCTTAACCAGTATTTGATAGCTTAAGCAACTCTCCATATAATACTTGCTAGGTTTAATTCCAATGCATAGTTACAGAGCTTGTTATCTACTATGTGTATATATAACGCTTCATAAGAAAACCAAATTTCTGCGAGATAACGATCTTGAGGTTTTTGGTAGATATTTGGCTATAAGACTGCACAGACAAACATTATATATATATATAGTGTTATAACGCCTCCTAAAGCTGCCTTATCCTTTGTCTAATACAAAGTTTGCGTCACACAATTTTTCAAACCTGATCTACGAAACTCTCTAAATCACAAAGAACATTGGTACGAAGTTGTTTACAAGTTGAATTTTATCATTATTGACATTTCTGATTTAAATTAAGATTATTCATACACTTATTTCAAGTGTTCATATTTGTTTGATCCAGTATTGTAAAAACAATGTGTAAGTCGCTGTATAGCTAGATTATATCATTGTTATCATAAGCTGTATCAAAAAAGTCATACAGAGAATCGAGACCTATAATTAACTTTTCAATAGATTGTTGTTTATTATTTTCATACCATTTCAGTCGAGCATATAGATTCTTAGAGATATACTAAATACTTGTTCAGGAATATTATTTTCTAATTGCGATGCGCACTTTATCTTAACCGTCATGTGAAAAGATTACATTCGGTTTCAACATATTATCAGATAATGACATATCAGTCAGAATATAATCAATAAGACTCGAAGAATAATCAGTATGTTCAACAACCTTTGACATTCTGCCTCTACATATATGAAGCTTAGTAGCAATACAAAGCTGAAGCTATTTTTTGCCGAAATTATTTAAAGATTTACCATCAGGATTAGCTCTAGGTGGCAAAATAGTATCTTCAGTATAAAGAGTATCAATAATTTAATAATATAATAAAACTCACTACTCATTGCAATATAATTAGGTTTGTGGATGTACACGCATTGGTATCAACTAAGAAAAAATGGAAAGACCCGGATAGTCACTTTCGAAAATAGCAAACTCGTCAAACAGTGCCTCGTGTATTGACGAATTTTCTGGTAACATATACACAAAACCTTGAAAGAAAATTATGAAGGATATTAATTTTAGATCTAACAAGTAACAATAAAAATTTTGTTACTTGAAGGTCTCAGTTGTATAACTTCAGCATACTGAAATATGATATTTTTAACAAAAACAGATATTCCAACTGAATTTCGTTTTGCTTTTTTTTGTTATTGGTCTAATAACATCAAAACATGTATAACCAGTTATTAAAAACTCACCATAGTTTTAGCCCAAATTCAACCAAACTAATAATGCTCAATGACTTAATATTATCAACATAAACTGATAAATCACAAATATCGCTTTGTCCACTCAATTTTGATGATAAACCGAAAATATTTCAAACACCTTATTTCATACCAAGAATACATATGTCAAAAACAAATTTTTTAACATCATGTCGATAATTCAAATATGGCGGTTTATTGTTCAGACATTGTCCACTGTCCTATTTTTCAGGAACAATATCATCCTTGTCAAAGTCAGATATATAGGATACACTGTCCCTAATCAGCTTATCACATTTAATATACGATCTTTTGTTCAGCTTCTTAAAGATGTCGATATAATGAGTAACTTTGGATCTGATTTTTCTAGTATGCGAGGTAAAATCTTCAGATACTCGAATATCGTCATATACTAGTTAATTGCTGCTGTAGTTGTAGATTTTCTGAACAAGATCTTTATCTTTGAATTTGTTAAACTTAACAATTATGAGAGAGATAACTTTTCTTGTAAAGCGATGTGCACGTTCTAGCTCAATAGCGGATCTTCTATTTCAAGATTTTTCGATAAGTAATTTCTTACTTTAGCTTCAGACTCATCCCATAATTCATGGCATTCTTGTCCAACCCCAAGAAATGTTTTAAAAATGTATATGTAATTGTAATGTAACTTAGCAAAAATGATTGACGTTGTATATGTTATACGGTCTGAAAGAAATAAAGAAGTGATTGACAATGGAAAAAAGAAAAAACTTGACCGGATAAGATAGTAGAAGATAACTATCAAAACAAAAAGCAATAAAGAACCACAGCCAGGCAGGGAAAAATGTTCGATTTCTTATTTTTTCTAAACAAATCTTAAAAAGCAAATTAAAGAAAACATGAAGTTTTTTCCTTTTCCAATTTTTATAGGTCTGTCTAGTCACACTTGTTGGTTTTGTCCAAGGTTGAATCCTTTCCATAAATAAAGTTAAGAAAATATAATCAAAATTCTATCATTTGACTGTCAATGTCATGTAAAGGTCAATGTCATGTTTGTATTATTTCACATGTCTATTTGGTCACAAGTATTGTTTTGTCCATTTATGAATCAAATCCGTATAAAATAACAATATCATGACAACTTAATCAACAAGAGCACTGCTAGGCGGAGCATTGTATGCTCGAAAGTGTTTTTTTTTTTTGTTAGTAAGGATGAAGCATTTGTAAGACATGGAAATTAGTTGTTCATCCTATCAAATTTTACAGCTGTAGGTTGATTAATACTCAAGTTATAAATGAACTTAACCTTTGACTTTGTGACCCAAAATCAATAGAGGTCTTCTCTCCAATATGCACAATCATACTATGAAGTTTGAATATTGTGGGCCAAATGGTACTTAAGTTATGCTCTAGAAACTATTTTCAGTATTAAGGTAAAAGTGACTTTGACCTTGTGACCCCAAATCAATAGGGGTATTCTACCCAATATGGACAATCTACCAACGAATTTTGAATATAGTGGGCAAAATGGAACTTAAATAATGTTCTGGAGACTGTTTTTGGTTTAAAGGTAATTGTGACCTTGACCTTTGACCTAGTGATCCCAAAATCAATAGGGGTCTTTTGCCCAATATGGACAATCATCCTCTGAAGGTTGAATATTGTGGGCCAAATGGTACATAAGTTATACTTCGGAAAGTGTTTTCAGTTTTAAGGTAATAGTGACCTTGACCTTTGACCTTGTGACCCTAAATCAATAGGGGTCTCCTACCATATATGGACAATCATTCTATGAAGTTTGAATATTGTGGGTCAAATGAAACTAAAGATATGCTCCGGAAACTATTTTCAATTTTAAGGTAAAAGTGACTTTGACCTTTGACCTTTTGACCCAAAATCAAAAGGGGTCTTCTACCCAATATGGACAATCATCCTATGAAGTTTGAATATTGTGGGCCAAATGGAACTTAAGTTATGCTCCGGAAACTGTTTTCAGTAACAAGGTAATAGTGACCATGACCTTTGACCTTGTGACCCAAAAATCAATAGGGATTTTCTACATAACATGGACAATCATCCTTTGAAGTTTGAATATTGTGGGTCAAATGGAACTTAAGTTATGCTCCGGAAACTGTTTTCAGTTTTAAGGTAATAGTCACCTTGACCTTTGACCTTTCGACCCCAATAGGAGTCTTCTACCCAATATGGACAATCATCCTATGAAGTTTGAACATTGTGGGCCAAATGAAACTGAAGTTATACTCCTGAAACCAAATTTCTAACGGACGGAACTGTTTTCAGTTTTAATGTTATAGTGACCCCAAAATCAATAGGGGTCTTTTACTCAATATGGACAATCATCCTATGAAGTTTGATCATTGTGGACAAAATGGAACTTAAGTTATGCTTCGGAAACCAAATTGCTAACGGACGGACGGACGGACAAACAGACAGATGGACGCCAGGGGATATAACATAATATGCCCTTTCGGGCATATAAAAATCAAAGGTCATTGAAGGCGCATTGCCAAAGTCAGTTGTACCTTTCAGAATGTCTTGTCCGTAAGATTATTTTGTGCAATTATAAAAATAATCCATCGATTAATAACCAAGCTACTGTCAATTATAGCAAACAAGTGAAACTTCAATAATTTATCTTCGAGGTCAATGTTATATAAGAGCCAAGGTCAATTTGAATTCAATATACATAAAGGTCTTTTCCAAAAAAAGTTCTGTTATAATATTAAGTAAAACCAGTCAATAATAAAAACGTTATAGCAAGGTACATCAAAGGAATGAAAAAATCAATATATCGACCTTCAAGGTCAATGTCATTTACGAGTGAAGGTCAATGTCTACTTTGTTTACTTAAATGTCTATCCTAAATGATTATTATGTTAAAGATTGATGACAATCCATTTAAAAATAAAGAAAGTTATGGCCACTAATAGCAAAAATCAGCAAAACAGCAAACTTAAGACACTTGATATTAACGGTAAATGTATTCCATTTTATTTAGTTCCGCTCATTGTTTTCTCGTTTAGGGCACACGCTTTTTATTACTTGGGGACCATACGCCGCTTTTCATGGAATGGCACGGAAGTGTCACATTGAAGGTTCCATAATAACCGCCGTATGAACACATCTGCGGATGTTTCTAAATTCAAAATTTTACTATTTCACGTTTAAATGTTGAATTCTGCTTAAGCCGGTGCTAGGGGGCGTGGACGGTAACTTGCACTTTCCAGTACCGTCCATGAACAGGCTCAATCAAACCGAGCCTGCAACATTTATAATTTTGCCGTGTTGGGCTTTCTTTAGGGATTCTGTATTTATCTATTTTATGAATTAAGGTCAAAGTAAGTCTAGACTACGTAGGTATTGTACCAAGGGTTGTTGTGACCAAGTGTGAAGACAATACACTAAGAACTTAAAAGTTATGATTAAGGTACAAGGTTTTTGTTTGTTTATTGGTTTTATTTTCAAGTCTAGCTAAGTGAAAAAGCATGCTCAAGACATAAAATGCTCAGGTGAGATTAAAAAGAATACACTGGGTAAAAAAGTAAGTCATCTGATATCAAAGTTAAAATCTTCAACTGAAACTGTCGTTGTTAATTGAATTTTTTACAAAATAGTAAGTCACAGGGTCAATATATAAGTCTTGATCTGCATAAGAAATTTGGCACCAAATCCAAATTTTAAAGCTGTTGCTCAATTTACAAAAGTCGGTCACTAGGACAAAATGTCAAAATTAAATTGATATTTATGGCAATAATTAAACATTCGCAGTGAAAAATTGTTGTTTTATTTCACAAAGACAATAACTTTTGAAGTATAGAGTCATTTTTCTTTAGCTCTGTACTTATCCGCAGAGAGACCAATCATCTTATGAAGATTAGAGATGGTTTCCTTATATGATTCTGACAAAAAGGTAAACCTTGAAAAAATATTACGGCAAAAGTTTTTACTTGTTAACTGCACTCCACCATTATAAGATGTGAGTTTAAGATTGACAACTCAAATTTTGTTTACGAGTAATGATCCAGACAAAATTAAGCATAAGAAATTACAAAAGGCGATTATTCTAAATTTTGGAAGTATAATGTGATCACTGGTGCATAATGCACACCTCCTTTATGAAATCATTCGGTATACATCGCGCCTATTATACATTATATTCATGACGTAAAACGAATTCAAAATAACTCTAGCACGAAACTTTTAATGTAAACAATGACATGCTGTGAAATATTTGCATTATGTATAGCGAATGTATTTATTTTACATCCAAAGAAAATATTAAATTTATTTCGGTAATATTATAATTGAAAAATATGTCAATTACATGTATAACCATATTTGAACTATCATTAACAGGTTACCGTTTTTAGTTTTGTTCGTTTATAAAGAATATCATTTCAACAATTACTCATTGGAAATGGACTTTTACTCGCGATATAGACATTGATATGTTATCTGCACTCCAAGTCTCAAAATGTTTTAGATAAATTATAAATGGTAATTATCATTCACTGCACTCCTTCTAAATAAGATCAATTCGATGATGAAGTTATTCATAAGTTTATAACTTAAATTATTTCGAATTAGACTCCGGACGAAGTGTTAGACGGAAAATCAGACCGACTGACAGACAGGCAGACAGACAGATACAATAATGATTTATTAATACATTCTGGTTGAGATGACTAACTTTTTCCCACGAATAAACATTCAAGGTTGTTTATTATTTTGTCTTTTTACAGTTAGTTTCTGTTTCGATAACCGACATTCTAAAAGAGGAAAGTTATTCTTAATTGGTTTGTACAATATAATTTAGATAATGACATTGAACATTTTAACATTGAGACATGTATCTATCTATTATCTATTATCTTTTATACAACCATGAGAAAATAAGTTTCAATACCTTGGTTAGTGCATAGGCGGTTCAATAAGGAAGTAAATATCCATACACTTTGAACAATGCGCTTGATCATTCGATTAACCTAATAAGTCCCGTTCGATGCATATATATGTACATGTAAATATCCGTTTTATCTCGTTTAAACCTTATTTAAGACAGAAGACACCCCAACTGTTTGACATTTTTTTATTCAAACTATCGATTTTGTTCCGTATCATTTCCGCCATTGCAACTGTCCGGCCCTTTCCGTCAATCTCCGGATAAGTATATAGATAATATGATTTCCATTACCGTACATTCTATTTTTAATAGAGGCGAAAATATATTTGACAATGATAGTACGTCTATTCACACTCACAGGTGCTCGTCCAGTCTTGGTGTTCATATAAAAAAAAAATGAAATTAAAAAAAGAAACACACACAACTATTCTTGGTTGATTGAAAGAACAAAAAAAAAAGAAAAAAAGAAAAAAAATCATATATACAATTATACCATACATTCCTTTGTAGTAATGGTTTATAAAGGGAAACATTTTTTTTCTCTTTTTTTTGTCTTTCACTCAAACTAGAATATTTTTTTTCTTTTTAATTTCATTTTTGGGGGCGCATGCGCAATGCGCCCCCAATGGAATAACGACAATTCAGATTTACTATGGTTTGAACACAATTAGTCACCTACCTACGCTAAGCAAAATAGTTCCAAAACTTCGCAGTAACTCCCAAAATCATAGTTCCCTATCTATTTTAAAATTGACTGGCCAATTATGTACTAAATTTTGCAATCGCCATTTAAAATTGTATGTATATTTTTGCTTTACGCGATTTTAATATTACTACGCCAGCGGTCAGTCCAGGTACGTATATTAACGTTAATATACGTACCTGGTCAGTCATAGCAAAGGACTTGCATAAATATAGTACAAATTACATGTTGTCACAAGTTAATTAAGTGTCATATAACTCAAAAATTTAGCAAGTAATGGAATACGGATTTCAGATCAGCTAACTTTAAAGCTTATAGGGCCTAATGCTTCATTTATAAGTGTAAATTTAAGAAAAACATTGCATGCGTATGAATACGAACTATTTTCGCCCTAGCGTCGCAATCGCCATTGTTTACAAGTTCATCCGTGATTATTCTTTACAGTCTATTGTGTGTAGGCTAAATTTAGGAGACACTTGTGAAAATATGCAATGAAAAATGAATATTTACATTGAAAATACAGGAAATGAAAATGAACATTTTACTTTATCAATATTTCTTAATGTTTCATTGAAGAATGTAATAAATTAAAAGAAATATTGTATTAATTAGGAAAAGTTTTTATTTCAGGTGTGTGATTAAAGGCTTGTTTGTTAGATTTCAATTGTGGCACAGTTGGTTGTTTGCTGAGAAGCTGTGAAACATAATTATACAGGCCATTAAGGTAAAAACAGGTCATGTGTAACATAGCATTTCCTCGTCAAAATGCTTTTAGAAAATTAATTATAAAAACATTAATAATTTCAAAACTTAAAACATCTAATAGTCTAATTTTAATTTGGAAACATACAACATCTTAAGTCTTATCTAAAATTTTAAACGTATAACATCAAGTCTTAACTTAAAAAATAAATAAGTAAAACTAACTTAAGCAAAATTCAGGTACTAGCTGTAAAAATATATATGTAAACTATATAATTATTTTGTATTTAAAAACTTACAATTAACTATAAAAAAATAAATAAAATAACATCAACACTGAACTTTTGTGTTATAAAATACCATCATTTAACCAAAAAAAAACTGAATATACACCAGTATCCCACACACACCAACCAACTAAGGGTTTCCGTGTAGGGCGCTCACTACGCCAGCAAGTAGAAACTAGATTAACTGGTCCTTTATCTGAGCAGTACAGCATAGATGGTTTTCGTGTATTGTCTTCCAATTTGGGTCAGGCCTCACATGGGATAGCAATTTATTACAAGGAAAATATTAATGTCTGTCATTTTACTTGTTTTACTCATTTTGGCATTGAATGTGCTTTACTGTGTTTACAAGACATAGTTATTGGATTTGTTTATTGTCCTCCAAGGTGTGCTACTATTGCAAATTTTTCAGGGTTTCTATTCAATATTTTGGAAATTGTTTCAAAAGAGTTTAAAGTGACTGGAATTTTAAAAAAGCTTATTTTAATGGGAGATTTCAATTATGATTATACTGAAAACAAACCAGTTGCTAAAATTATACAGGAAGTACTCAGTTCAGTTCAACTCATTGATTCAGTAACTACTGATTATGGCAGCTGTCTTGATCATATTTATTGCGGCTTGCCTATGAATAAAGTGCAAAAATTTGGTACACTAGAATCTTATTATTCTGACCATAAACCTTTATACATTTTATATCATACTTGAATGCAAGTCTTTTGAATAAATTATTTCACACTAAGTGGAGTGATGAATATTGAATTCATAATTAGTTACAATTTCCATAAATTGTGTAAATAACATTTGCTCAATAGTACATATGAATTAACTGTATTGGTCAGTCATTTCTACATAAGTTCTGTTTGGAATGACTCAAAAAATTGCCTCTTCTCACTTTTTTAACATGCTTATTAGTCATAATTTCTTAAGATGTTATTTAACTGTTATTTTAGAATAAAAAGATTAAGGCCTTTACTATCTATTTTCAGTGGTACCAAAAAGATGGTAAATTGGTAGTGTTCAGTTCCGGGCAAACATTTTCTTCAAGTAAGACCATACATTATATATGTTAGAAAGTTAAAAAGGAAATGTTCATGGTTTGAAAATCTTTGTACATTTACAATTTTGACCAAATAGTTTCTCAAAGTATTTATTTGACATTTAAACTGACATAATTAGTGGCATATGTTTCTAACTTTTCTTTTTCAGGAGGTTTTTGTCAGATTGATGAATGTGAAATTAAGAGGACCCATTTTGAGAATGCATCAAGAGAGATAAAGTCTAAAATGTGATACTGTCAATGTGACTAACCTTGAAGTATTGACATGTTTAAAGGCCAACACAGGACTCAAGGCTTATTTAAAATCAGTAAGCTTGGCACTAAGAGCCAAATGTATATTAATTATTTCAATATCATTTCATCATGCAATCTGTTGTTAATTTATAGCAAAAACATTTTAGCCGTGTCATGACAAAACCGCAAGCTGGTCTGGATCCATGCTGGTCGCAAACCCATTATGTTGGTTTTGTCATGACACGGCTCATTTGTGACATGTAATTCACTTAAATTGTATTTTGAAATTCAAGTTTTCATTCCTTTCACCTCAAGGCATTTGACATTGAAATAGTGACTTCATGTAGTAAGCAGTCAGTAAAATCTAATCATCTCATCTTGACTTAGCTGTATATAGATTATCAGAATCACTCACATTTACAAATTTATATGACTTTGAAAAGTTGTGTTACTAAGCAAATAAATAGATTTAATTGGGGTGTCCATAGTCAAAGTAATGTACCTAAACCACTTACCTTTAAAGATATACTATGCTCATCAGTAAAATATTTTAATCATGAAAATTTATTGAATTCTATGCAATTCTTTTTGAATATGTCTAATTTGAATGAAATAATGAATTAACTATGCATTGGAAGCCATGTTCCTTCTTACGAGACAAAAAAATTTGGTCCTTTCTTAAAAAAACTGTCAGTTTCCTAACAACACTATATATTTATATTGTGACCACCTATAGCGTGTGGTGTTTTAACATTACATAGCTACTTTATGTAAACACAAAACATGCTTATTTTATGTTTACAAAGAGACTGTGTAGCAATTATCAATGTTCTATTATATTTAATATGGATTCTTTAATGTGAGAAAGCAATCCAGCTAGCTTTAAAAAAAGGCGGTGGTTCTACTCAGATGCTCGTTTGTGAAATAATGCACAGAGGGGTTGAGCTCTGGCATTGGTCGCGCATTTTTATGCCCCCGCCATGTAATGGCCGGGGCATATAGTGTTACCCTGTTCCGTCATTCCGTCCTTCCATCCTTCCGTCATTCTGTCATTCCGTCATCATCAGTTTCCGTTCATTATCTTAAGAACGGTTGCACACATTCAACTCAAATTTGACATATGGATATGTCATGAGAAAATACAGGTCAAGTTCGAATTTGGTCATGGTTCGATGATTTTTGGCAGAGTTATGCCCCTTTTACACTGAAAACAATATGAAATTTTCAGTTTCCGTTCATTATCTCCCCAACGGTACAACACATTCATCTCAAACTTGACATATGTATATGTCATGTGAAAATACAGGTCAAGTTCGAATTTGGTCATGGTTCAATGATTTTTGGCAAAGTTATGCCCCTTTTACTTTGAAAATAATATGAAATTTTCAGTTTCCGTTCATTATCTCCCCTGAGGTACAACACATTCATATGGATGTGTCATGAAAAAAATACAGGTCAAGTTTGAATTTGGTCATGGTTCAATGAGTTTTGGCAGAGTTATGCCCCTTTCACTTTGAGTAAGTAATATGAAATTTTCAGTTTCTGTTTATTATCTCCCCAATGGTACAACACATTCAACTCAAATTTGACATATGGATATGTTTTTGGAATGCCCAGGCCAAGTTCGAATTTGGTCATGGTTCAATGATTTTTGGCAGAGTAATGCCCCTTTCACTTTGAAAATAATATGAAATTTACAGTTTCTGTTCATTATCTACCCAACAGTGTTACATATTCAACTTAAATTTGACATATGGATATGTCAAAGGAATGGGCAGGTCAAGTTGGAATTTGGTCATGGTTTGATGATTTTTTGGCAGAGTTATGTCCCTTTCACTTTGAAAATAATATAGATACATCTTAGGAATAAGCAGTTTAAGTTTGAATTTGGTCGAGGTTCAATGATTTTAGACAAACTTATCTTTCCTGAATGTTGGAAAAATTTTGAACTTTCAGTTTCAGCTCTCATACTTTTAGCCATTATTTTGGCTACAAATATGCAATATGCTATTTTTAAAAGGTTAAGACTGAATCATTTCAGTGCCTTGAACATTGTATGAAAATGGTTTGTGTTAACATTGAAAAGTTTTAAGGGCTTTGAACTTAAAATGAAAAAAATAATTAATGCACCTGAAATTTTGGCTGCATGCGGGGGCATCCGTGGCATGATGACACATTTCTAGTTTGGTTTTATACCTTTATAAATCAGAGTAATTCTAACAGAAAAATGCTGAAAAAAAGTTAACATACAAGTATGGAATATCTCGGTCAGCAATAAACTTTTTCAAAACTCTATTTCAGAAAACAGAGATGCTTGTTTGACAGATACAGTAATAGTAGGAGTTATGAGGGAAGATAGATTGCAGTGATAACTATATTGAGGCACCACTTCATCACCAAGAACATGAGATGACTTATCAATGTTTTCAATGTGTTTGAACACCCATTTTAAATAATACAGCTCAGAGTGAATTTTTCAAAATAATTAATTCTGTTTTCAAAGTTTTTTATTTAGATGTTAGTTGATCTTGTCAAGTACTTTATTTTTTTAGGGATGGCAACAAATATTAAAATCAATACTCGAGTACTCGGTCATTTTTCAGATCGAGTATTCGGTTACTCTGATGATTTCCAATGATCTTTAAATTTTTATCACACAATATCAACACCGTCTGCATGCTATCTTCATTTTCTATTTTAATTCATAGAATTTGTAGCTATAAATAGGATTGCAAGAAATACATATAATAAATATAAACATAAGAAATGTCAATGACAGCATTTATTATATACCTATAAATTTTCTTCCTAAAACACAGGATAATCTTGAAGCGCAAATAGGCTTCAACGGTTAGAAAATTCTGTATTATGTTAGAGACAAATACAGTACCATATATGAAAGGACTGGACTATTTTTGACGTTGGTTCTGATCTTAGCTGTGTATACGAGGGTTGTTCAAAAAGTAATAGGACTGCAGCTCTACTGTTCACATTTTTTCATCTACGTACACGAGTTTACAAAAATCGAATATCGGAATTTGTTCTCTATATACAGTGAAAAAATCAATACAATATGTTTAAAAACAACAATTCTGTACAACTTACAAATGACAAGGGGTACGCGACCCGGCGCACGCTAATTGTTAACGTAGTATATGGAAACGGCAACCAAAAAAATAAAAGGTGTGGCTGGTTTTGCACAAATTAGGTATTCATCTGTCAGTCATAATTTATTTCTTGACAGCTACATTTCTTTTTCTGAAATTTCTTATATAAGTGAAGTATAATGAAAATCATTTATACTTCAAACGAAAAGGTATATTATAAAAGGAAAATTATGTTGTAGTAGCTTTCTGAGGCTATGCATTTTTCTACTTGCAATGTTGGAAAATTGATATCTAGCTCGCCCTTTGGTCTCGCTAGATATCAATTTCCCACCGCTGCTCGTAGCAAAATACAAAGCCCCAGAGAGCTACTACAATATAATACTCTGAATATATATTTTTTTATAATTAACAAGTTTGGGCTATCCTTGAATTTTTTTTATTCAATCAAGTGTGATTTTTTTAAAATATATTTATATGAATGCATGCAGCTTTGAAATAGTTTTTACCCATGTATATTTGGCAGCAATTTCACATGTAGCTCTTCGGAAAAAAAATCACTTGAGCAAAAAAATTATATAGGCATAAAGTGATACCCCGTTCTGTCATCAGTTTTTTTTTTGTATGGTTTTTGTGTCACCTCTACGGAGTAGTGGCGACATATAGGGATCACTTCTCCTTCGTCTGTCTGTCCGTCTGTCTGTCCGTCCGTCACAAAACTTGTCCGGACTACTCCTCATAAACTACTGGTGCAATTTCATCCAAACTTTACAGGAATGATCAGTACCAAGTATAGTCGTGCATATTGTCAGCATTTTCCGGTTCAATGATTATTGTCAGAGTTATGGCCCTTTAATAATTTTTATTTTTAAAGTTTGTCCGGACTACTTCTCTTATACCACTAATGCAATTTCAATGAAACTTTACAGGATTGATCTGTAGCTCAAGTCCTTGCGCATATTGCACGGGTTTTCTGGTTGAATGATTTTTGGCCGAGTTATGGCCCTTTGATAAAAAGGTGTTTTTTTCTGTGTGTTGCCAGATACACAAAAGCTTGTCCGGACTACTCCTCATAAACTACTGGTGCAATTTCATCCAAACTTTACAGGAATGATCAGTACCAAGTCTAGTTGTGCATATTGTCAGCATTTTCCGGTTCAATGATTTTTGTCAGAGTTATGGCCCTTTAATAATTTTTATTTTTAAAGTTTGTCTGGACTACTTCTCTTATACAACTAATGCAATTTCAATGAAACTTTACAGGATTGATCTATAGCTCAAGTCCTTGCGCATATTGCACGGGTTTTCTGGTTGAATGATTTTTGGCCGAGTTATGGCCCTTGATAAAAAGGTGTTTTTTTCTGTGTGTTGCCAGATACGCAAAAGCTTGTCCGGACTACTCCTCATTAACTACTGGTGCAATTTTATCCAAACTTTACAGGAATGATCAGTACCAAGTCTAGTTGTGCACTGTCCGTCTGTCTGTCCGTCTGTCACAAAATTTGACCCAACATGAAATTGTCCATCATGAGGCGACACATGTGATTACTGATCGCTCTTGTATTTAAGAAATATGTTGTTCCAGTTATTTACAGATGTTTGTATGATTATTGGAATAAATACAGTTAAAGTACACTGATTTTCGTGTTATACACTACAATCCATTGTATTATCTTGAAATGTTTTCCATGATATATACATATATATTTATATATGGAATAACTATATGGTCTCAACCATGACTTCGTGGTTTTTAGCTCGACTATTTGAAAAATATGAGAGCTATTGTAGTAACCCAGCGTCCGCGTCTGCGTTGGTTAAAGTTTATTATAAAGTCAAATATCTCGATTATTGCTCGAGATATTCAATTGAAACTTACAATAGTTATTTATAGTAACAATGTACATCAGATTGA